CAGAGACCTCGCGGATCTTATGGGTCTGCCGTATTTCATAGCGAACAGCCTCGACCTCCAAAGCGTGCGCCAATGCCTCCTTTAGCGAGGTATGGTGTCGAAGCCTCACTGCAGCTCTGACCTCCAGGTCTTTGATTCCGTCCACAAATGCTTGAACAATATTCGTGTCTACCATCTTGGTGTCGGCTCCTGGGTATGCCTTCCTGACGAGTTTTTCAATTTCCAACGCCCATTGTTGTAGTCCTTCTCCTGAGCGTTGGACTCGGTCACGCAGTTGGGCACGGAACACGTGCTCCAGATGTCGCTCCTCGTATCTGGATTCAAGTGCCTCCACCAGGTCTTGGAACCCATTTCCTGTACGTGGCAGTGCTTCCAGGACCGACAAAGCTTGCCCTCTGAGCGCAACAGTGAGAGCGGTCAGGCATTGCTCTTCCGTCCATCCGTTGGCAGTAGCAACAGTCTGGAATTGCTGACGATAAGCGTGCCAAGAAGTAGTGCCGTCGTATGGCGGCACTTTCACTTTTGGTCCTTGTGCCACTAGACATCGCGATTCCCGTGGTTTCAAGGCGCACTACTTTCTTCTGTAGTTTGGTGAGGCCGGTTTTCACATTTTCAACATACAATCCTAACCCGGTAACTCGTTCTTCCACTACGTCGACATCTTTTCAAAGTTTAATCACCGTGTTACTAACATCATTTATAGCCCAAAGCGCCTTTTCTTGGAGGTCTTTTTGTTGCTCTTGTGATTCTCGAATCGCTCTGATTTTTCAGCCTTTTGAAACTCTTGAATCGTAGTCAGCTTGCGTTCTTGTGACTCTTGCAAAGCGCTAATTAGTTCAATTAAACTTCCTAATTGAAGAGCCATTTCAGGGGCTGCAGAAGTTACGGTGCCGTTGGTGGGCGCGGCAAGGTGGGCGTGGCCCGGTGGGTGGAGTCAGTGGGCGGGGCTTGTGCCCGAGTGGACGGGGCTTGTGCCTGAATGGGCGGAGTCTGAGGGTCGTGGTCAGTGGGCGTGGCCTGGTCGGTGGGCCAGTGGGCGGGGCTTGGTCCCCAGTGGGTGTGGCCTCCGCAGCTCGTGCCCTTGTCCTGACACCCTCCTTGAAGTCCTCTTCCGGAGTCAATGGCATCTCCAAATCCCACTTCTGACACCAGTTGTTACGTGTTAGGGGTTCGAAGGATTTGGAGAGAAAGACCTGCTGACTCTTTTGAAGACTTTATTTACGCGCACTAGGTCCAACACAAAGCACTAGGTCCAAACACTAAGCACTAACGTTGTCCTATTTTGTAGCCAAGTCGTAGGTTTCACTGGTATCGCTCTTGATCACTAGTTTTCGCTCCGAAGTCGCCTCGAAGGTAGCTCAAACTGAACTGTATTCGCTCCTGGAACTTCGATTCCTGGAACGTACACGACACGCACGAACATGTTCGTGATTCCGGAAAGTTCGCGAATGTACCCGGTTTTCGAGACTATAGTTCCACAGCAGTTCCTCTAACGCCATCTAGTGTTGAAAAGGGGGTTTTATGTCGTCTTTGTTCTTTAGTGGTTTTACTGTTGAAGCTAGATGGCGTTAGTTCCTTTGTGTGTTCATAACAATAATATAATTACTATTTTACTTGGGCAATTACTATATAATAGTAGTATAATACTCAACTTTACAAAATGGTACATTTAAAATTTATGTATCTGTTAGCAAAATGGTGGTTAAAATATATATTTTGTTTGTAAAATTGTTTATATATGTAATATATTCAAGAATCACATTTATTGTCTATATTTTTATTATAAATTTGACAAAACTATGTTTCATGTTACAGAAGTGCAAAGCTTTGTCAATATCTGGCCATCTATCATATTGGCACATAAATGAGTTGCAAGTGCTTCTAGTAAACAACCTGTTAACTTATTTTTAAAAGGATATTTATCAAAAATTTTTAGCAAGAGATAATGCAATATTCTTATTACATATCAGGTCAATCCAGGAGACAGAATGGGTGATGGAATTAGAGAGAAATAGGGTACAGGCAGAAAATAAACTTGCAATGCTGCACTTATAATGGCAAAAGCATCTTGAGTGTAAGCTGAAGCTGTTCATGTACAGGCAGTATGTGCATGCTATTGGAGCTTGTGCACAAGTAAAGTGAATAAATTCATGTGTTGCTGAGCTGAGTTAAAGCAGCTAATAAAATGTTGTAATGAAACAATAAATGTACTATAAATAAATATGTTCTTTTATTTTATTTCCCGCAGTAAGTAATAACCAATTAACAACAAATACCACATAATTATTAACAAATGCTTTGGTAATAAATATTTTTACATGCATTAAAAATCAAAATAAGGTAAAATACATAATGAAGAGCTTACAAATTATTGTTATAAAGGTTACTTTTTTGAGGCTGTTTTATCTGATCATTCTTCATATTCAATTAGGAATAAAAATGGCATACACTCGGCTAATTACTAAATACGATTTAATAAATTACATAAACCTATTTTAACACCCTATAAGGGAACAAAATGCAAACACTATTTGCGTGTTTGTAAAATTTGTAATAAGGTTATTAGAATATACATGTTAAATTAATGCTTTTAATAATACTGAAAATTTTGAATTATAAGACAAAAGTAAATAAAAAATGGAATTGAAAAAAGGAAAAGTGATAGATGAAAAGTTCAATTTATAAATTATAGCAAGGCAATTTATAAATTATATAAAGCAAACGGCACAAACACCCTAGCTTATACTTCATATATCAATACCCTAGCTTAAACCAAATCAGTATAATAATTATATTCAGAACATTAGTATAGTACATTAAGATCAATGTCTTGGAGCCAACCATAAATATTGCACGATAAGATTTCTTGTCTTCTTAATGTCTGTAGCTTTATTTGATCTCATTCAGTATGAAACAGCTCTTTAGGAGTTTGTACTATTATGAGTATTGATGTCTAAACTCCGCTTCGATAACCTCCATAATTTTGGCTTGAGTCCGAAGAATACGTCTCAAGGATATCATATTATGGTTAATTTGTTTCTCCTCAACTTCTAATGCTTCCAATAAAGAACAGCACGAGCCATGTTCAACACTTTCACAGTTCTTACTCAATTTAGGCACTTAAACCAACTTTTGTCACTTTTATACGCGTTTTTTGTTACATTCGAACGTTGAATTGTACAGTATATATGGAGGATATAAACAAAAATCTAATCACGCGCGGATTCATACAAAAAGGACAAAAATCACAATAACGAAAGAGTAGCAATCGATGGAACAATCAATATAAAGTTATCGCAATTTGACGTTAGGATCGTTCGCTGATTGCTCTCGGATCGCTGTCAAAATTAATACGTGATACGATAATTAATACGTGTAACTTAAATTAATACGTGTATCGCTTTGGTCTGTAATCTGTATTAGGCTATTGCACTTTGTAGTTCACTGATTGTACTACAGAGGCAGCACTATCGTCATTATGTTTTCGCTTCGCTATTGCTGATACATAATACGAATTTGCGATTATTGTGCAATAATTGCAATTTTTTCGCTATCGCTTTGCTTTTGCTTTTTACGTAATAGGCCTGCGGGTTAGTACCACGAACTCACAGAAGACCGGCGTAAAGCAGAAGTGTTGCACTTCTGCGTTTCGTCTGGTGAGTGAAGTAGCCGGGGCCCACATTATCAAGAGGTGGCAACGCATCTGCAACCCTACGTGTATGTCCATGGGCAGGCGGTTATCACTTAACATCAGGTGAACCGCCAGCTCGTTTGCCACTTCCTCACATAAAAAAAATACAATGGGAAATATAGTGGTAGATAAAAATATATAGTGAAATATAAAAATCCCACATTACACAATATTTCACGGAATTTATCCATACAACTTCCATGGTTAAAAAAAAGCAATAAACCATGAAATGGTTTTCAATTCAACAACACTATCTAGTGTTCGCATAAATATTATGTCATGAACAGTTTTTTATTGTAAAAAAGTCTAAAAGGACGCAGGCTCAAATCCTCGTGGTGGCGAAAAACTATATTTTCATCTATATTTCTACAATTTTGAATTTCATCTTAAGTGCAGTTTCATCGTAAGATTAGTAAACTATGTATCATGAAATATTTTTTTTATAATGAAATATTTGAAAACATCACTAGTTTTCAAATATTTCATTATAAAAAGTTATATAAAAAAGCGGTCTGTACAGTCGGTGCTGTAAGGAAACATGACGCCAAACATTCCTGGAAAATGTAATAAAAAACAATTAAGTAAAATACGTGTTGAGATTTTCGTCGGGGTTAAGATAGCAGTAGCTAGAAGATGCAGGTTGAAACTCGCAACGGCGAAAATCTTCTATTTTTCCATGTTCAAGTACAAAACAATAATAAAGATGCTGGTTTCAGACTACAATACACTTTCTTATTCTGGCGGTTATTATTTGGATTATACCAGTGGTAAATTCTTGTGTACATTATTTTTATTAAATCTCTGCCCCAAGGATGCGGCTTTAAGAGACAGGAAGAAGGAGAACGAATATTACAGGAATGTTGCATCAACGAGGCGTCATAATCACTACATAGTATAAAACAAAGTCGTCCCGCTGTCTGGCCCTATGTGTGCTTAGATCTGTAAAACTACGCAACGGATCTTGATGCGGTTTTTTTTACTAAATAGAGTGATTCAAGACGAAGGTTTATATGTATAATACATTGCACCCGTGCGATGCCGGGGCGGTTCGCTAGTTATTGAATATTTTAATGACGCTATTCCGTATGGTGTTATAAAAAGTCGGCCGGAGAACGGCTTAGGTACTGAGCGTAGTCACATACGTCGTTTATTGAGTTTAATTTTAGATGCCAATGACAAAGTATTTCTCGCTCACGTATTCTATTCAACAGGCGACTGGAACGTGGTCTTACAATTAAATGTATACATTATAAGAAGTGTCCGTTAAATGTTATATAGTTAGAGTTTGCAGAATTGTCTGTGTGAAATCATGAAGACTAACATTCGTAAAAGTGCTAGTTTCCAATTATATCGTTCTACGGCTTCGAGTTGTAGCGAAACGTCCAATTTGTCCAGCTCTTCTGATAACTCAGACACTCCATTAAAAAGGTATTACGTCTTGAGTAAAATTAGCAACAACAGATAAAGACAAAACATAAGCTTACGTTAGTGGTTGTGTACGAATTTTCTGCGATAGCGTGTTTAATTACCCGTAATATACCTCGATAAACTTCGCTAATTCAACTTTGACTTTTCCAAAAATAATAGCACCTAAATAAATTCTTATTATTCTTATCTAATAGTTTCTTATGAACTTTTTTCAAACGATAATTTGAAACTAGTTTGGAGAATACTAATCAACAAGACGCCATATACCTATTTTAAAAAAATGTTGATTGATGTGAAACGGCAAATTCTATTTTAAAGATGTATATACACCTGCGCAAGGTTTACGTAGTGATCTTATTGCCCTATTTTTGGAAAATTTTGAGTGTTATTTTCTAACAAAAGTCCACTCGTATGTGAGGGCAATTGATTTTTAGTATTTGTACAAACAATCATAAGTATGGTATAAATAAGTTTTTTAGAATCTTGTAAATAGGTTTTAAATATCTGGAAAATCGTTAAACGATAAGACTTGCATTCGACCCACGATGTCCTAGTCTGGCGTATAGTTCAAATATTTGTGACCGAAATACATCCAAGTCATAGGTATAAACATTAACTAGTAATAAAATACGAAAAGCAACGTGGTTAATCGAAGGAATAAATGAAAGATGTACACTTTCGAGAGTTTACGACAGCGTGCACTAATTAGATCATGAAAGTATTAAAGGTAGTGTTTACCTAAGCAACCCGGCAACGCAATTGTGACTCAACCGATGCTGCAAGTGGCGCAAAGAGCTCGTACGCCTGCTTTTTCCATAAAAAAAATAAAGAACCCAAATAAGCGACTTACAAGATTAAGCTTTGATACAATGCTTTCAAAGTTAGGTGGATGACAAAAGGGTCTTGCGCAGATTTAACCGCCTCGTGCGGAGTTCGGTCGCGCGACACTGGGCCTACTTCAGAAGGACCAGATCGAAGAAGTGGACCCGTGGGCGATCCGTGTCCGACGCCGGCCTGTCTTCCATCGTCGATCGTGGTATAGTACCAGGATCTTAGCCTTTTCCAATCGACTTCGAAAGAGGAGGGGGCTCTCGATTCGACTGTATTTTTTTGTTTGTTACCTCATAAATTTTAACTGGGTGAACCGATTTTGAACCGAGCCGGATGACCGGCATAAAGTAGGAATATTTATACTATTGCCTTAATTCCGGTAAATGACTTTCGGGAGACCCGGGGCCCACACTTTCAGACGCCAGCAAGTCAACTGAAACCCCACGGGTTATGTCAAAACCGTGTACAGCAAATACCAATACAATATGCGGCTATCTTCTTCTTATTTCTCCTGCCCTTACACACACATTTCACAGACATATTGTTCTTCACACAGCCCAAATCTTTCTCGGTCTTCCTCTAGCTTTACACCCTCCAACAATATTAATACTCATCACTCTTCTAGTCACAGGACTTTCATGCCTTGTTTTAAGTTCAGCTTTATATTAACCTAACATTCTGAGAAAATCTCAGTCACTGGTGCCAGAACACATATTATGTTATCAGTCTAACACTGGGCTAAATTATACACAAACGAGACAAGTCTGTGTGTACATTGGCTACACTTTCGAGACAGCGATATTTCCGTGTAAGAGTGACAAACAAGAAAACGAACAGCTTTGACCACGCGAGAGCTTCGGCTGTTGCACGAATGGGCAAGTCCGTCGGGGTAAGTACCACGACCTCATAGAAGACCGGCGTGAAGTTGAAGTATCGTCATACTTCTCCGTTTCGTCTGGTCTCACTCACCATAGCCGGGACCCACTTTATTATAAAGTGGCAACGCATCTGAAACCCTACGGGTGTTGCAAATGTCCATGGGCGGTGGTTATCACTTAACATCAGGGGAACCGCCAGCTAGCTCGCCACCTTCTCACATAAAAAAAATTGACAATGGTGAAATTTGCAGATTCTAATTATTTGGGGATCGAAGCGGGTAAACATCATTCCTGGTTGGCGTTAGATGGATCCTGTCCTTACACTGTACCTTCTCTATACGTGACGTGAGTTATAAGTTTTATTTTATTTTATTTTGAGGTAAAATTATTCTGTTACTCGCCGTGGATAAGCCTCGGACCCAGCTCGGTCACGCGGAAGCTTTGCAACTGGGCCGACAAGCCATCAGATCAATACAATATTTTATCCCCTCTGATAAATTATTCATTATTAGTTAAAGTACTAAACGCTTGTTATGATATATTGGAAGGCTTGCTGAAAGCGGTTAGCAATGGTGGATGTAAGTTAGATCAAAATGACGTCGTCGCGTTTAATAAATCCCAAAATGTGCCTTGAAAAAGAAGCATATTACAGAGGTAAGTACCTACTTATGAAAAAAAAATTTATATCAATTTAAGTTTTTACAATAAAGTATAAATAGACACAAAATATATAATAAATAAATAATAATAATAAGTTTAAGGTGTATGTATGTTATGTAATGAATCTAATACCAAAGACAGTGCATTATGTTCGTGTGTATTTTTATGTGTAAAGGTAAGACTGCAATGTTCGACGGTTCGTTCGATACGAAACGATTATCGACCCCATGAACAGACACAAAATACATAGGGTGATTAAACCTAAAAGCGTCGACCCTAGCTTCCTCTCGTCTCTCTCATCAGACTAAACGCCAAAGTATAAAATTCCTACCGTGTGGCCGCACTCCAATAATTTATAAACAGATTTTTAAGTTCAATATTTATCTGTCTATCTAGTGGTTTATGTCAAACGATTCTGTTACCGACGGTCGTTCCATTATCATAACTTTTTCTTTGGTACGCAATACTTTTGCGTAACTAATTGAAAGAATTAAATTACAAATGTAGAAAGGTGTCTTATTTTAAGTTTTATACCAGAAATGTTCTAGGTAAGTATGTAGCTGTTGATATTATGGTTTTGCTAACTAATTAATTGTTCGTCGACGAGAATATCTTATTCTGTAAGTTTAAAATTAGTTCTAAAATTTTCCTAAAGAACAAAAATTTTTTATACTTAGCACAATATATCATGTAAATATGATAGCTAGAATTGTGGGAAATGTGTTTATTAAGTAATAATACAAAATAATCTAGCATAATTAAAAAGGCCATGGAAATTTCACGGCCGTAATATCTGATTAAATTGAATTGCCGCCACTTTTCCTGTCATACATATGATTCTAATCAATATCTTGCGCAGTGCACCACCACGCATGTTTCTCTGAGTTAAAGTAAAACCAAGCAATTTTACATTCTCTCGTTAAAGAAATAAAGAACAAAATACAACACTACTTAGTATCGGATGACAACTCGAAAGAATGCCAGGGATGAAGACAGTGTGAATGCGAATCGTTTTGTGATTGTGAAATAAAAGAACGTTCGGTGTTCAAAGAAATCTCTGGCTATTGTTTTGTATTTAATGTTAAAGTTAAGACTTAAATCAGAAAGAAAATTTACCACTTTTGTTATAAAACGTTAATAAAACTTAACCCTAAGTGCGAAGAAAATTTTGAGGCATCACGTGTGTTACAACTTAATAGTACTTGTGATTTGTTGTATTTTAATGTTTAAATAAATTAAAGAAATACCCATATAAGCAGGGACATCGTTTCACACCATAAGAATCTTATTTAATCGTAGCGATTGTTTTCATTTTATCGAACGAATGCACAACGTTTTCATCGTGTGATTAGTCTTAACTCTTTTCTACTTATTTAAATTTCGACTACATTAATTAAAATGAATTTAGTATATTTTGTCAATAAACATTTCGTCAGCGTTTTTATAACGCACTTATCTACGTATCGGTAATTGTATAATTTCATAGAATATTAATTAACTTATTACAAATTCCATGTAAATTATGCGAAAATGTTAGAAACGAATTTGTCGCAATAGGGATGGAGAAGTTTATTTTATAACGTTACACAGTCTATCGAATGGTTTGAAATGAATATAAATATATAATTGGAACTGTTATACAATAATCCAATAAACTTCTAGGTCATCGCAAACCCGTATTTGCCGCATAAACTAGTTTTTCTCTCTCATCATCTTTAGACGCATTTGGACCAAGTTGTGCAACTATCTTTTTTATGTTCAGGCCATTGTAGCAATGATTAATAAAATCGTAAGTTATGTTCGGTGATGGACTCTTTTGTGACTTATAATCAATTATTGTGATATAAAAGTGTACATAAAATACCAAGTCATTAGTCGCTTCAAGAGAATATTTAGGTAAGTGAATATTTGATCAAATATTCTCTCACCGTAGTCCAAATATTAGAAAATAGTAGAGCGTGAATAATTAGATGTCACGTTCTACTATTTTCGTAATAGGTATCGAATACAAAACTCCATAGCAGCTCATGCTATACATTGATGTGCTTTTCATATTTTAAAACGAATAATAACAGATTATTTGAATAATATGAATAGAGAGTTTGCATAGAAAAATATCGAAATCGTATTCGCTTTTTAATTAACATTATTTACAGTATGAAAATTGCAATGCTTGATAGAAGTATTAAAAATTAAATACTTCTAGGTGAACGGCATGGAGTTTCGACCGCATTACGATAGATATCCAGAATTTGTTCCTGCTTGCAGCTTTTTGAAACATTAAAATGCCAAGGTACCCATTATTCACATCCGCACGTTATTGGTGTAACGTACCAATTTCACCAACACTATACTTATTTACTTTTTTAAATAATTATAAAAGTAATTTTTATCTGTAGTAATCTGTAGCAGAGCTAATAACTCTATACATATAGAGCTGTTATCTCTAGTATAGATTACACATATGTGACATATTTTAAAGGAAAAAGCAAATAATAAATTCCTTCCTACTTTTCACTATGCTTTTTAATTTATGTTGTAGCGTTGCTTGCTTTGCTATGGTCGATAGATATTTTAAAAGCTGCTTGTTTTTTTCGAACGTGTATAATTTATACCTGCTATCGGAATGAAAAATAAAATACTTGAGAGTATAGAAATTATTTAATTTATACAATAATATAATGCTTTCCTGTGAACATAACACGACTATTGTACGTTGTTGAATAAAACTCTTTTACGGTTTTTATAGTTTTTAATTTTGGTTTTATTTCTCAACCTTTTGTACACAACACAATAAAATATTTTTCTAACAGTATAATATATATTTAGTATATATATGGTATAAGCTAAAATTATGCTTTTATTTAAATTTTCGTACTTTATCTGTAAGCTTCTCGTGATTTTTTTAAAGAAATACCAGTACAAACATTTATATTAAGAAAGCCGTTTGGCTTTCTTAATATAAATGTTTGTACTTATGTCTATAACTATTAACTTATGTCTATTACTTATGTCCATAAAGACAATCGTATTTCTTGTCGATAGAAAATAGCTTGACCTTAAAATACAATATTATTAGACCGAAAATAGATGTACATATTTTAAATTAAAATATATACCTAATAATGTATTTTACAACAGAAAAATATTTTAGACGTTGATTGTTCGTAAGCACAGTTGGCGCTTTAGGTAGAAGCAGTTGAAGCTAAAATATAAGCACTAAGTGGACGCGATATATCTATGACATAACTATTGAATAACTTAACCTTAACTTAACCTAACCTAATCCTTTTGCTTTTCGTATCTTTCCGGAAGGATAAGGTATTATTTTATATTAAAACTATTATCTAAAACCTATTGTATTTTGATATTTATTGTCAGGCTTGAATTTGTTGGTCCAAATAGTATCTAATTTGGTCTTCAGGTTTGATAAGCTTTTGACGAGATTTATCAAGTATTTAAATGATTTTAATACAAGCCGATGTATTTAACAGCGTTTTAGAAATTCTTAAAAGTAATTACTTTTTTAATGTTTACCTTAGATGGCCTTGATGTAAACGCGCAAGCCCCATACAAACCTATTCACCCTTAATGAGTTACCTATAGTTTAAAAAAAAAAGTGAAGCTAAGTTAGGTTTGCGTTGAATTAATGGAGGATATAAAAGCTTCCGGAAGAAGCATGAATTTCTTTATAAAATAAAAAATGCACATTTAAACTTGTCGCTTGCATGATAGCTCAGTGTCCGGGCGCTCGCCTTTAATTCAAGATACTCGAGCAACCTGAGTTCGATCCCCGGTGCCGGCACCAATGAAGTTTTTAACTTTAAGTACTGACTTATCACGTGCTCCGCGGTGAAGAAAACATCGCGAGGAAACCTGCATATTTTCGAAATAATAATAAAAATAAAATATATTTCGTCCGCGGTGAAGAAAACATCGCGAGGAAACCTGCATATTTTCGAAATAATAATAAAAATAAAATATATTTCGAAGATATGTGAAGTCCACCATTCCGCAGTGGGGCCGCGTGGTGGACTATGACTGTGACCCTGATACCCTCTGTATAGAGGAGGCCTTTGCCCAGCAGTGGGAAATGTATAGGCTGTTACTTTGATACTTTAGTATTATTCCTGTATCGTGGATTTGTGGTTTTTTTTTGTGGAAAAGAGTTTAACATGGTAAAATCAAAAAGAATAATCATGTAGCTTTTTATAAAATTAAAACATTGCCTTTGCGGTTCCGTACCCCAAAAGGTAAAATGGGACCCTATTACTATGATTCCGTCTATCTGGCTGTCAGTCCGTCAGTCCGTCTGTCGCCAAGCTGTATCTCATGAATCGTGATAGTTAGACAGTATAAATTTCCATACATGATGTATTTATGTTGTCGCTATAAAAACAAATAGTAAAAAAACAGAATTAAAAAATATTTTAGTAGGGCTCACATTTAACAGACATGAGATCTTTCTATATCTCAAAACGATATATCTCAAAACAAAAATAATTGTATAAATCGTTGGCAGTACATGCACTCATAGAGTCGTTGGCGTAAAAATGATCCAATGATGGTGTAAAAATACAATCGAACAAAATCAGGTTGCTATGACTTATTTTGAAGACTAGTTTAATAAGATTTTTCTGCCCTTGGTGACGTCGACGAAAATTAATTATAGTGGATATCGTTCAGATTAGGGTTGATGAGGATGTAGTTATAAGGAAGAGGATGAGGATTTTTTTAGAAAAAAAATTGAGGATGCGGATGATGATGAGGATCTGCTATGAGGAAGAAGAAGAGGAAGAGGAGGAGAAATAAGTAACAACATAATAAAAATATTCTTTTTGGGCAAAATATATATTATTAAGCCTTTACATTTAAAACAAAACCTTCGCATTTTAAGATAAGAACAAATTACTTTTATGGAAAAAGTTTTTATTTATTATTTTTTGTTGAAATTAGTGCTAAAAATAATTAAATATTAATATTTAAAATTAGTTTCTTGTAAATTGTATTTAATAAATAATAATTTAGATACTAATTCTCCTGATAAACGGTTTCGTAGTTCATCGTAAACCAACCCAGCACCACTAAAAAGGGGTTCACTGGGAACACATGATGGAGGGGCTGATAAACACTGACGTACTACTCTATAAAGTTCAAAATATTTTGGATGATCCACCATGATAGACTGTCTTCAGTGACATTCAGTCTCTTTCCTTTAATATAACCAGCGAACAGTGACTTAACTAAAGCATGTCTGTTTATTGGTGAGCATGATTCGCTATTTTCATCGTCACTGTTAGGTGCTGAATTTAGCACATCAACTAACATAGAGTTCAAAATTCTGTTTTCATCACGCGCTGCCACAGGAGTGACCGTGGAGGAAAAAGGTCGGTTCTCCACATTCTGCGGTTACCTATGTAATTTCAAAAATCATTTAGTCGAAGTTTTTTTATGAAAACCATTAATAATTAGAATATTGCTTCATTGAACTTAAAAATTACGATTAGAAAAAACTTATAGATGAAATATTATCTAGTCACAAAATGCAGAAAACAAAAAAAAAAACTACTTTAAGAAGCTGTTATAATTATAATAACAAACCGGCAGATTATTTGTCACTTCCACTAAAAATTCCTCTTAATAAGAGGAAGAGGAGGAGGATTTTGTAAAATTTATTTTGTGGAAACGGATGAGGAAGAGGATTCGTGAAAAAATGAGGAAGTTCCGCACTAAGAGGAAGAAGAAGAGGAATCCTCATCAACTCTAGTTCAGATTATAAAGCTATGCCGCGAAAGCAGTATAATATTTGTGTTCCTGTACCGCCACTCATTTGACTCTTTGTCTCTGGATTTGGCATTTTTGGTCCAATGAAAAGACACTGGCGAAAAATCATCCTGCAGTATAAATTGTGAAACCATAATGCTAGAACCATAAATAAATGTCATTTGCCAAAAATTTTAATGAATGACCTTGTGCTGTAGGCATCGCATCAAACGCATCAAAAGTCAATCTGAAAATTTCCGAAACGACCGAAAAGATGAGGCCCACATTTGACCAGACCTTCATGGAGTACCTTAAAACTGCCCGAGAAAACAAGCCAATGGGAGGTGGAAGCAACTATAAACTGGAAGTAACTGCAGGAAAATAATGTCAACTAAGGTGCCTGCTAGTATTACCGGGAAAAAAAAGATTGAAAAAAGACTGTCGCCTAATTTTACATTTTTAAATTAAAGTTCTAAGTAAAAATTACCTTTTAAATAACATATCTGGCCTGTTTTTTTATGGAAATATATAAAATATTATGAAAAAACTATTGTATTAACGAAATACAAAAATGTTTTTTTTTGTATTCCGTTAATGAAATATAAAAATGTTCATTTTTGTATTTCGTAACGTGAGTGTTCCAGTATATCTATTAGTGATGGAAAATAAAGATTTTACCCACGATGTTTATTATACAACTGGCAAAACATTGAGATGAAGCTTGTAACACCGAAGTACTTTGTTGATAGTGATACCGATCCCTGAAGGTTCCATTTTAAAATTAGTGCAGCATTTGCAAATAAATGAAAAACCCGAAGAATATGTTTTAATGCAGGATAAAGATTATATTTATTTTGTTTTATTTTAGTTTGTAAATGTAATTTTAGATTATTCTAGGTATTATTTGCCATTTAAGTATTGATGTGTCTAGCCTCCTTATCAATCGCCGTAACATAAAAATCTAAAATAATTAAAATTTTTAGAAAAAAAAGGACGAAAAGTTTTTCTCCGCTGTGGAAATGGAACCACGTCTTCCGGACTCACGCATAGACGCTTTTACCACTAAGCTCAACTCTGACGAAAATCTCAACGTGTTTTATTTACGTTGGTTTCTTCGTATAATAAGCAACGCTTGACGCATTTATTGTTATATCGTTTACAGGAAAAAAACATTTTCGAATATTGTTTTAAAATGATAATTCGAACGGGACATGACGCCAATGTTCCTGCTAAATTTTATAGTGCTAATCTCTGCATTTGACCTTCAGTTAAAGATATATCAAGGCTTTAATATACGCAACTTATTCCACCATGTTGTTGCAAACGACCAATGCCACAAAACCGCTTGCGCGTACCTCATTTTGCGTAAAAAGTGTTGTGTGTTCTTGTGGTAATGCGGTCCAGCTCTGCGGGTTGTGCCGGTTGTGCTTAGGCTGTGCTTTGGTGCCGGCAGATCGGCTGGTGGCGGCAGCGCTCCCGGGCTCGAGGAAGCCAGCGACAGCGACGCGGAGCGCCCCCGCCGGCACCACTTGCGCGTGCCTACACCTCACTACTCGGGACAGTGAGTGACTTGTTTCGTAGCACTACTCTGACCTCTATCAGATGTTCTTTTTCGGCCTGGAAACCACGCGGACGCCTCATTACACCAATGATAAACACTCTCTGCCTGCGAGGTAATAAAATATGGAAGCAGGCCGCCTGTTGCGCTCTCTGTTGCACTTACGTGTCAGGAGGGCATAGTGACGCACTAGTGCCACCTTACGTTTTAATAACCCGCGGGCCGCGAGTGTTTACCATTATACTGTATAGTTCTAAAGCTTTCTCGGCACCAACCATTCACCGCTAAGTTATGTTGAAGCAGTTATTTTGTAGCACTTTTCGTTTGCACGTCGTTGCACATGTCGCTGCTGAAATCGTGTTAGGCTTGAATCTATGGAAGATCGTTCATCTCACCGCCATTGAGCTGGTACAGTGCTATCAAAGAGTGTCGCAAATACTTTTACTTTGTGTTTATATGTCTAAAACTGTTTTTTTTTTTTCAAGTCATTACAATTTTAATACTCCCGTGCTTTATACAGACCACGCCTAAATTCTTGGTGTCTTGGTGCTTCCCATAAAGAATTGTACTTTTACTTAGCTGTGAAAACTTCTAAATATAGGTTTCCCTTTTCGAGAACATTGCGTTTGACTTAGAGGTGAGAGAAAAGAATCTTATCTTGAGCGAGTGTGTTTATCATCACTTCTTAACATCGGCTGGACTGGAAGTCAAACATTTATCAGTTAGTCGCTATACAATTATATAAACGGAAATGGTACAACGATAACGTCAATATTCTAGCTTATAGTCAATGCAGCCTGAAGAGTGAAAGAATTACCTACCGAAGAAACTGATATTATAAGAAGAGTAATCTTGAGGTTAGATGAGGAACGGAGATCTATTTCATTATTCAACGGAAGGTATTTAAATTTATCTAGATAACACGGAGAAGCTAGATCGCTGATAGTTTAAAACAGAGAAGAGAACAAGCAGAATTCTAGTCCTGTTATTTTAGTATGGATTATTACTATGTCTGGCACATAAAAATTTTGCAAGAACTGTTGTGTTGTGTGAGAGAAACGGTTTCTCTCTATTTGTCGTCTATATCTCTTCGTGGAGATGTAAAACGATTCAGGTACATTTTTCATTGGGTACTTAGCAGCTTATTCTGTTGCAAGAATGGGAAGGGTCGTCCAGGGAAATACTACTTTAACTGTGGAAGGGCCATGCAACGGCCTTTACTAGGTCGTCGGTAGGCAGGTCCGACCGGGGGAGTACCGCAACCTCACAGAAGATCAGCGTGAAGTGGAAGTGTCACACTTTTGCGTTTTTCCTGGGGAACTAGTTAGCCGAGGCCCACTTTATTAAAAGTTGGAAACGCATCTGCAACCGTACGGGTTTTGCAAATGTCCAAACATGCTGGTTATCAATTAATATCGGGTGAAACGCCAGCTAAATCCGAGGCTCTAATTTTGACCCGAATGGCGTAGTGGGTAGGGAACCTGCCTCTCGCCTCTGGCTTGGGGATCGAACGACTAAAAAAATATTGTGTGATGAACATAGTGTTTTTCTAGTGTCTGGGTTTTTATACTAGCTGACTCGGCAACCGTTGTTTTGCCACATAAATTATTTCTAGAGGAATCGGAACGACATGTATGACAGGAACAGTTTGTATGGGAAAATAAAATTGTTGCTATTTCGATTTTCCATGCAATTTTTCCATAATTTCTCATCGTTTAAACCTTCCCTGGACTGCCACAATTATTTCAAAACCAAAATTACCCAAATCGGTCCAGCCGTTGTCGACTTTTAGCGAGACTAACGAACAGCAATCTATTTTTATGTATAAGAAAGATGTATTTATTTACAAAAGAAAAGTATGTTCAAGTATGATTATCAGTTATTTAGTACCTACCCATAGTACAAGCGTTGCTTAGTTTGGGACTAGAGAACGTTGTGTAAAAACCGTGTCCTAAATAATGATTTATTCACTTCATTTCCATCGTAAGTTTGGCGCGTGAAGCCCATATACTTGCTTATAAAACAAGAAATCTTGTTGAGTTTTCGTTTAATAATTATTTTACATAAACAAAAATTATCTCATAACGTACACGAAGTATCTGTACCCTGCGTTTGTTTGTACAATTTTCGTATCATAAATGTAAATAGCACGTAGTTGTGATAAGATTGGAAAGAAGCCCGTTAGTATAACGTTTGCATCCATCTTAATCGAGTTCACCTCGCTAACTGTGGTTTTCCGAAATCTGTCGAGTTCTGAGAAGCGGTGTCTTGGACTATCGCTGGTATAATGAGCAATGGATAGGATAAGCGCAGCGGTGGCTGGTGGAGTCCGCTTGCGGTGGTCCACTCGGCGCGACAGCCTCCCCGTGACGAGTATACGCCGTGCCTGGCTTAAGGGAAGGACGAGTATATCGCCAGAGGCATTCCATCGGCGGCGCCGGTAAGACTAAGTCTTGAACTCCGTCAATATTGCTTTATTCAATTCAGGCCTCACTATGAGCGTAGTAAACTTACACAGATCCGGATACAAAATTCTCGTGTCACGGTGTTTGTATGTACAGTGCCGATTTTCGTGAAATTTTGTGTGCACATCGGCCAGGGTGGAGAATCGGAAAACATTTTTTTCTACCCTACAAATAATTTATATGAAAAAACAACGTTTGCCGGGTCAGCTAGTCTTTTATATACAGCGTGTCGTTACCATCGCGACAATAAATGAACACACATATAGGGGATAACTTTTAAAGTTGTATTAAACATTTAAATTCTTTAAACATCAATATTTACAGGGTTATTAAATTTTCCAAAACAAAGAATTTAGAACACCCTTACCTATAAAAGCGTAACGTAAAGTTCATTTGTAAAGGTCACAAAGCATATGAATGGGTTGAATGAATTTAAAAGAGACAAAACATACTGTTGGAAGGAGAGGCTTGTTATACGAAGCTGTGGCGCGAGTTGTATAGGATGTTACAAATTTTGTTTCTTTTTTACTTAATTACTTTGTTTGATGATTATTGGCAAGTAGCGTTGTGGTAACGACACGCTGTATATATATATATATATATATATATATATATATATACATATATAATTCTTCTGTACGTGTGTGTCATTGAACTCCTCCTAAACGTCTGGACCGGTTTTACAGAAATTTTTTGTGTGTCTTCAAGTCGATTTGAGAATGGTTTAGATTCACAATTCGGGAAACTACAATATTTAATTTTTTTATTTATAAGTTGTCGGATTTAAGTCGTGTATACAGTACAACGTCTGTCGGGTCCGCTAGTATTTTTATAATTTTATTCATGATTTTTTTATAACACAATTTAATTGTATAATCTACAATGACCACGGTACGTGCAAGTGCAGAACAGGTGTCATTTCCATGCAGTTCTATCCTGAATGTATAAGTTTTCATTACGAGTACTTACAACTTGTATTTTCAATTAAGGCTATTTTCATATTTTTTTGGAGTTGTTTCTTTCGACGCAGTATTGTGAACAGATAGGTAATTAAAACAAATAATAATAATATTCAATATTATTCACACTAAACTACTGTGCGGATAAAAGGTAATTGAAAATTTTGACAGGTTCTATTTCAATTTACATAAATAAATATGTATACAGCGTTTCGTTACAACCGCGACAATAAATGAACATACGTCTAACGCTACTTCCAATAATCGTAAAAAAATATAAACGTTAAAAAAATCCATAATTAAAAAAATAATATTTATCAAACAAATTAAATAAAAAAGAAAAAAAATATATAACATCCTATACAACTACAAGTGACTGATTCATACGTACAGAGACTTTTTCATTCGTTGCCACAACGTCGCATTTCAAGTCTCTCCTTCTAACAGTATGTTTTATCTCTTTTAAATTCATTCAACCCATTCATATGTTTTGTGACCTTTACAAATGAACTTTACGTTACAGTTTTATACTTATGTATATGTGTTCTAAAATTGTTTGTTTTGTAAAATTTAATATCTCGGTAAATATTGATGTTTAAAGAATGTAAATGCTTAATACAATTTTAAAAAGTTATCTTCTATATTTGTGTTGATTAATTGTCGCGGTGGTAACGACACGCTGTATTAAAAACAAAGAACTTGGAAAAGGTACAGTGCAGCTTTATTATAGCAATTATTTATTTACATGTTACGGAATGAATATCTTATGGCACATTTAAATTAGTGTAATTAAGATACTACCTGAACACTTTACACTTCTTTTATATTGGCTGTAATTATTCATAAACATTTTTAATTTCAGTTTATGTTAAAATTACTACAATAGTAGTGTATTGCTAGTTGATGAGTTTATTAGCAACTGCGTTACCTACTCATCTAGAGTAGGTAGCGCAGTTGCTAAGGTATTACCTTCATTGTCGGTGATCGTGAGTTCGATTCCCAGACGGAAAAAGTATTTGTGTGAGCCACAAATCAATGTTCCGCATCTGGGTGTTTTCCAAGGAGGGCTGACGTTAGGCAGGTGAATGGTCTTAAAAACATAATAAACTAAACCGCTTACAAAAAGATTCATGTTGCCGACCCCACCTAAGTGGAATAAGGGCAGCCGAATGATGATAAGTAGTTTACTACTAGTTCAAGTAATAAAATATAAGTTACTATAATGGACAACCGTCTGATTACTAGCTAGAAATTATTTTTTTTAGGAAATTTTGAAATTCGAAAAGTGAACATGAATGAAAAATAATTGAAATTTTGATGTCTATGATTTTCTTTTCTGTTAGAAGATGACATAACCTAATGTGATAACCGCCGCCCATGGACATTTGCAACCACCGGCGCTTAAAAAGTGGGCCCAGGCTTTCTTACTTACCAGACGAAACTTAGAAGAGAAACAGAGGTCATGGTAGTTCCCCCGAATAACCACAGTACAGAAATATGGTCCTTTAGTAAGTTAAATATAAGTTTTTGAAGTGATAATTTCTTTAGGCGCGTTGAGAGACTTTTTAGACAAAAATCAT